TTCATGTGCCGAGGGAGGGAGGGAGGGGTGTGTGTGTGTGTGTGTGTGTGTGCGCACAATTCCCCTCCTTTACAGTGCTGGATTCAACCCAGGTTTCAATCCGCTCCTGTGTCCAGCGCATGACTGCTGGCACTGCCTTGATGCGGCCAAATCCTGATGTCACTTGTACTGGTGGAACCAAGAGCAAAATGTAGCTCATATAAATTAAAGACCAATTATGTCCCAACTACTCTCTTCCCCTTCTACCAGTGCTAGATTAGGCCCTACAGTATATTCTCCAGTCCAAACAATGGGGCTTCGACCACTTCCCTTGCAGGACCTCACAGGGATTAATTTTTTTACTAATATTCAACCTAAATTTGCCTTTTTCCCCATTTCAGCCCATTACTTCTCGGTATAGTCCTCTGGGCCCCACTGAGCAGTCCCGTAAAAGACCCACGTCAGTAATACCTGCGTGGCTGTCGCTCTGCGTGCCTACAGGAGACGCTGAGGATACACTCGTGTTACAACAATCAAGCCAAAGTCAAATACACCATAAAAGACACAAATGGATCAAACCCTACCCTGAATCTGTCCCACGGGGGTTTTGCCACTGACTTCCATAGGAGCACATTTGGGCCATGTGGTTTGGTAGAATAGAAATATTGCGTTTTCCTCCCCCTTATTCGTTACACGTCTTTGACAAAAAGTCATTTAAAATTTTTCGATCAAAACTGAAATGGTACAGGGCGACACCCGTTCCAGACACGCCGTGTCTCCGGCTGCCAACACAACGGCAGGGCTTGCCGTCAGACACAGCGCACGTGCCTGTGGGTGTCCGTTATTAAGCAATTTGCTATCCTCTTTCATGGCTCGCCTGGCAGAGATGGAGTGCCGTTGTCCTGCCACGGATGCCCAGGGCTTCCCACCCCGCCATACTATTTATCCCTGCCTGTTTACCTCTTTCTGCCCCCCGAGCTGAAGCCGTGTGAGTCCTGAGGCTGTCAGATGGGCTGGAATACCAGCATATGGTGGTTAAAATCACGGCTTTGCCTCTTGTATGTCAAAAGCCACCTCCCCCACGCCAGCTTTCATGAAGCATCGAGGGGTCGTTAGATCCCCATCGCCTTAATTCTTTGCTAGCTGGGAAAGGGAAATCCCACTGTGGTTTCAGGCAGACACTGATCCAATACTGTATCTACCCAGCTTCCCAAAGCTCTGGCACGGGGGGATCCAGTAATAATACCTGATCACGCATTGACAGGCAACGTGCCTCCCACAGAGCAGTGCCAGCACCATGGGGCAAAGCTCGTATTCCCTAGAGTCCTGCAGCCACACCGATCGTGAACGGAAACTCCCCTGGGAGCCCCAGGACCTCTCCGCAGAGGCATGGTGTTTTCAGTGGGTGGTGCCTGAGGTCCCATGGCAGCTTCCTGAAAAGCTGATTGCCAGCTGGACGGGCCAAATCTAATCTCACCTAGAATACCACAAGCAAGCGAATGAAGCAGGGTAATTTAGTGGCCTGAACGTGGGATTCAAGGCCCCGAGTTCTAATCCCAGTGCTGAGCAATTAGTTGCTGTTTGACCTTTGGCCCCTTCAGAAACACTTCCCTCCCCAAGAATAGTTATTTCCCCGTCCAGTCATTTCCCCCTCCATCAAATGAGGAGAACGACATTCACTCCCCGTCCCCCAAAGGCGGCTAGTGACGGGCCGTAAAAGCGCTTTGAAGCCGCTGTCAAGTGTGAAGTGTTGTATGAAGAAGTGATGCAGAAACCACCTGCAGCCTCAGAGGTGATCCCGAGGAGAGGACGGCAGAGCAACGTGATTAGAGGCGCTCGCAATATGACCAGGAGCCTCCGTTGTGGGGGCCTGACAGCTGACGGGCATTCACCACAGGACTCGCTGCACCAGGCCAGGCAAACAGCACACCCCACTGTCCCGTGAGCACGCGGCTCCCTTCCCCAGCAGTTCATTCCCTGCCCCACCCAGGCCATGCTCTTTTCAGCACACAATGGGTTTCAGTGCTGGGAGGGGGCGGGGGGGGGGGATCGGAGCTGCTGTTTCCCGAACAATGGGAGACGGGAAAGAGGTTTCACTTTCAAGGAGGCCGAGCAGGGAGCCTGGGAAGTCACTCGCTGTGCTTTGCTGCAGCCTCATTCGCTTTGCTCACGTCGGAGCACAGCTCCGCTTCGTCCCAAGTATTTATCGAACTCTCCTGCTGCACCCAGCAAGAGGCCCCAACCTCCAATCTCTCCAGGCTGGGCTGTTTTGGTTCCACGCTCTCTCCAGCCCTTTCCCTTCATAAACAAGGAGCGGGACCTAATTTGTGCTGCTCTGCTCACCTCTGACCCCGCCCCCATCAGGGTCACCGATAGACCCAGCGCTGATAAACGACTTTGGGCGGGGGGGTCCCACGGTGCTCATTCGGAGAGGGGGCAAGAGGGAGAGAAACAACATTTAACTGGAGCCGTTACACACGTCAATCCATCCTCAAGGTCAGTTCTCTCGGCTTCTGGAGACCGTAGCGATCTGCCTCAAGCCACAAGTACATACCCACAGCCACAGGCATCAGCAGGCAACCCAGGGAACAGAATTCGTGACCTCAGGCTGATTCACACACCCCTTCCTGCTGCCTGACCCGTTAACGGGAACCCCAAATACCGGAGCAGCCCTGACATGCTCCATCCAGTAGAAGGCAGTGAGGCACACACCACACCGCCAGGCACGTGGCATGGACTTTTGGAAACTGGAGCCCTAATCTAGCAAAGCAACCTGTGCGGTCTGACGGCAAAGCCATCTCACTGGGCTTCGCGCACCATCGAGCTGTTCAGTTTTGCTTCTCTTCCGGGCCCCCTCTATTACTGTGCTTGGCCCGGGAGAGCAGAAGCCAAGTCTAGAGGAGGCCAAACTGGAACTGCTTGGAATCATTTCTTGGACACGCTTCATAACTTTAAAAAATAAATTCTTTGACAAGTTTCTCCGCCCCCACCCCTCTCTCTGCTCAGGTCTCAGGAGACCACCCACTCTTTGAACCGACTGGTAGATTCCAAGGCTGGAATCATCTAGTCTGACCTCCTGGATAACACAGGCCAGATGAACACAGTAAACTTATGCTATGCTGTGACCTAACACAGCACCTTAGACGGCCTGGCTACCCTGACCCTCTGCGTCTCACAGACCCGCTCCTCCGCAGCAACCAGCTAAGGATGTTAGGGATAATGCTGCTGACCTCCTTTGGAAAGCGCTTGGAGATCTATGGATGAAAAGTGCTAGATAAGAGCTAGAGATTACTGTTATCCGGGCCTTCAAAGCATTTCAAAGTGAAACCACGTTGCCTCTGGTCTCCCAAGGAAAAGAAAGGCGAGTCCCATAACAGAGCCGAGGCAGCTCGCAAAGCCTCCAGGAGAGTCTACAGGCCTCTGTATCAAAGGATGCAAGGCGGGTCACCGGGTCTTTATACTAGGAGCAGGGAAAGCACGTTACCCCTCAAAGGAGACAGGAGGATCTGAGCTGCCGCTTCCCTCTCTCCCTAGAGGGAACAGCACCACAAGTCTCTTGCTCCAACAAATTCAGACACGTTCACTTGTTTTTACTAATTTAAAAAAAAAAAATTCCGCCGACTTGAGGGCTGATCAGAAGGGCCCTGGAAAGCGAAACCTGCTGCTCAGCGACAGGACAAGATTTGCACACCCGGTGCCCCAGTGAACCTAAAACCTGAGCGTTCGAGCTCTGTGATCCAGTCAGAGCGTGGCCTGTCTGCTGCCAAGGGGAGCAGGACAAAGACCCACCAGTCATCAGACGGCTCTGACCTTCAGTCACTAACAAACGGGGGTGGTTGCATCGTGCAGTGACTGAGCTGAGCTGGGAGAAGGGGTTTCCCGGCTGCGGCAGGGATGTTTGCAATTAGAAGTCCTGGGGGAATTACAGCCCATGGATGGGTCATAAAACAACCAGCTCAGTGACACGCAACATCCCTGTGCCGCTTCTGCCAACATCCAGAGTGAGCAGCCTGGACATGAATCCCTCTTGCCACTCATGGAGCGCAAGCCCGTACCGCCGCCACGAAACCCCGTACCGCCGCCACGAAACCCCACAGCCCTGGAAGCCACCTCCAGTTCTTTCCCTCTTCACAGAGTTAATAAAAGAAACTTTGCCGAAGATCTAACAAGGCAAGAAACATGCATCTTCTAAAGTGGCTAATTCCCTCCCTGTTTAAACAGAAACAGGATCACAATAGCCCCCCTGGTTCCGTTCCCTCCCCTCCCCCCACATGGAAATACAAGGAGAGGGACAAACTCATCATAAGCCTCACGGCTTCATTACATGCCCAGGGTCCCTACATTTTCCCCGGTGGTCTGCAGGGTAGAGGAGGGAGCAGAGAAGTTGGGATAAAGGGCAAAGCGCAGCAGAGGGCCGTGGTTCTGTGGGTAATCAACCCTCCAAACGCAGCTAACCCTATAGCTCCCTGCTCTCTTCCACCCTCCCCAGACAGCATGGCTGGGCCAGTTACCGCACTGCCAGCTCCTGCCTATGCTCCTCCACGACCCCTGGGACCAGAGTACCCAGCAGGAGGTAACGTAGCTTCAAGCAGTAATAGCTTTCCCCAGGTTTTAGGGGAGACTGCCCACTGGCCGGAGAAAGGAGACAGCACAAAGCCCAGCGGGGGAGGGGGGGGCCTTCCCAGCTCCTCCCCTGGCCGCAAAATTTTTTCCAAATGGCGGATGAAGCACACAGAATTTCTGCAGACGAGAAAGCGGCTGCCCTGGGTGCAAGGGGTCTCCCAGGCAGTCACTTCCCCTGGCACATGGGCCCAGCACAGCTCTCAGCAGGGTTTTGTCATTTCCCTGCTAAGCATAACTCGATGCACATCTGGCAGTAGCTGGGCAGAGGCCCGGGTAACACAAGGCTGCAAGAAAACAGCGGGGGACTTCACTCGGTAGCCATCTGCAGAAGCACCAGTTGGACCAGAGCCATCCCACTAGAGCACCCCTGCCCCCGCTATTTATCCCTGTCCATTTACCTTCTTCCCGCTCTCCGAGGTGAAGCTGTGCGACGAGTGACTCCGGAGGCTCCCGCCGCTCAGCTCCAGCTGCGGTTTCCAAACGTCTCCGTTGTCGCTGCCGGGCGATTTGGCTGGCGACGCGTTGGAGTTCACCGGGATCCCGGCGTGCGCCATCTCCTCAGTGCACGTCAGCCGCAGGCCGCACAGGTATTCGTCTGTCTCCTTATCCACCACCAGCAGGCGGGTCTCAGACTCCACCGCTTTGATGCGCTGCACCACCTGGAAGGGAACAGAAAGGGGGAGAGAGATTTAGCCAGGCAACTGCAAACCAAACGACACGATCCACAACCCCCAGGCCACTCTCCCCGATGCAGCTGCTCTGCAAGGCCGGGGTCTCAGCACTCTTAACGAGAATCTTTCCTAGGAACTGATTATATATATATATATATATATATATATATATACACACACACACACACACACACACACACACCTCCTCTCTCTCTC